TGGCAAAGCGAATGTCGCTCTAGACACTTTCTTGCAAATAAGCAAGATGACTATCTGCAAATTTTGAAGAGAAAAAGTCAATTTCGTGACCCAGGAAGTCAAAAATGTAACAAAAATGCTTTACGATACAGACGAAGCAAGAAGACTCGCCCGAATCATCAAATGCAGGAACGGATGAGGCATGAAAGCTCGATCAAACGACTAAATCCTCAGCGGACGAAGATCGCCACGCCCCTCCGACTTTTACAATTTTATTTTTCCACTCCTTGTCAGAAGTGTTAAGGTGAGAGAAAAGAGCCCTACCCGATTTAGAATGAAAGTGGAATCTACCTTCTCCACCTTTCATTCTATCAACTGTATAACAAAATAGAAGATCGGCAAAATTTAAGGTCAAACCTTGAACCCTGGTCAAAGCAAGAAGACATGAGAGAATGAAGAAAAAATTAGGGTTAACTTGAAGAGGGGCCAAATTCAACACCGACAGGACCCGAAGGTAAAAAGGATTAAGGGGGAATCGAAAGGCAGGAAAATGTAAATCCGAGAAAAGCATCTCGCCTTCTTCCAAACCCTCACCTATACTAAAATTCAAGTCATGATCGTACCCCTTAAGGGTAACGTCAAAAGGAACGCGATTCTTCTTTCTCAACTGAGAAATTGAAAAGGACTTCCTTTCTACAATGTCCACAGGGAGGATTATAAGACCCTTAACATAGACACTCAGACTCACCGCTGCAGTCCCCGACTCAGAATCAGACATATGAACACTATGAGTTCGTTCGTTCGTTACGTTCTTGACACATAATGTAAGAAAGAAAAGAAAGACTAACCACAGCAGATGGAAGGAGATGTTGAAGCAGCAATCGAACTCTCGCCAAAACTCAGGAACGAGATCACAAATATAGATACCCGAATAACGAAAACACAATATATAAGTAAAGGAGGGCAGATAACGGAAGGACAAACATGAGGCCCCAAAATCAGCAGCACAAATGGTAATGATAGGCAGTAATAGCCGCAAAAACTTCTTCACTTCCCAAAAACAGTTACAATTCCTTATATGAATCAAATTCATAAAAGGAATTGGGGGCAAAGTGTAGAGGGAAAAACCCCCACCAATCACATCACGCCACATAACAGCAAAAGGGTAGCCCAAGGCTAAACTAAAAATACCCAAAGGCCCACTATCAGGTGAAGGCCCAATAGTAGAAGCCATACGCACATACCAGTTCAGCCCAATTAAATGAAGGAAACTCCATTTGACATAAAAGCCGAATGAACGACCCAATCTTAACGGGCCCATAAATCCATAACGCTTGCTATAATGATATGCACACGATCTGTAGGTATAAATACCATGTTTGGGAGTAAAAGCCAGAAAATGGCTCCATATATATCTCTGAAAAAAAGCTTATAAATAAAGCCTGAATGAGAATGAAGAGGCATCGAATTCCCATCATTGTTCTTCTCTTTTAGAATTACTTATATCTCAATAATATTCTGCACATTTCTTCTCAATTTATTTCTTTAAGTGTTGGGGTGTAACAATTTGCACCTACAGTGTGTCACATAATTGTCACGTGATCACTTTAACTCAAAAAATTTGACCGGAATAATTTACCCTAAAAAATACTATTACATGGAATAATTTGACACCCCAAACGAGAAGCCACATAGAAAATGTCATTTCCAAATAATTTCAATTTTTTGGGCCTACCTCTACTTTGGCTGTTTGAATTCTTTTTATTATTTCTTCTTATTTTATTTTCTTTCTCTCCTCTCTCTTTTCTCTCTCTTTTATTTTCTCAAGATTTCTATTCCTGATTATACTTAGTTTAATATTTCATTTTAATTTTCAGTTTATAATCGTGACAACCAAATCAATCTATTCAACCAGTTACCTGTAGACCAATAGGAATTAGTTAAAAGCAAAATTTAATAACTCATCTCTCTGTGGGTTTGACACCTCTCTATATAGTGCTATTCTGCAAGGATTTGTGTTGTTGCGAGTGGTAAATTTATAAGTAATATGCAAAAACACACAACATGCTCTAGGGCTAATTTCCAATATGTTCGATGATTGATTGTCAACCTTCCCTGTCGCCTCCCTGAAGGAACAAACCATAGCCTAACACCTTCTGTTAGCATATTGTAGTGAGTTTCAAGAAAGCGAAAAAGCTTCTACGATAATCCCCACATTCTTAAAACACTACTTGCGGACGAGGAATACCTTGATCATAACCAAACTACCTCGCCAGTCTTCTTGGATTATACACTTCAACTGATAAAGTTTTTTCTAAAAAAATAGGCAACGGACTTGGGCTCACAAATGCCAAGAAAATTAGATGATCATTGCTGATTTCTTTTGGGCCAGCTTCTTCATAGCTGTCCTTATCATCATACACGAGCAATGGTTCCACTCCTGGAACATCATCAACATAGGGATGCCACGTAAACTGGTGACTCAAATCTATCAGATTTGTAAGTCCAACTCGAGGAGCCCTACCACGCCATTGAAAGGACCGCATCCTTACACTTGGGGGTATTTCCCTCTCTCGAGGAGCGTAACTAGCAAACCGTTCATATAAAAATAACTGCAAGAACATACTCAAGGCATATGAATGAATCACATAGTGACCAACAGAGCGGATTGAGTCTGAAACAACCATATCCACCCGGTGATACAACGAGCCTAAAAACAGGGATGATAATGGCAACGCAACACCTCAAGACAATTTTACTGCCATTTCAACAAGCCGCAAATGAATTGTATCCTCGGGTGAACCTTCCAGAACAAACCCTGATAACCAACACAACAGATACGTTGCTAGCCCAACATCTCTGCTATACCATGTCCCCAATACTCGATGCCTTTGATCATTGGGCACACCTCGTCTGACAATCCACACATACTTAAAATGCATTTGGGTCCAAGACCCAAATGTACACTTTTTACCCCCTTTCCTTCGCTTGGCTAACTCTATCCCACCTTTCCCAAATTTTGACCCATATGTTTTCGCCTCCTCGATAGACAAGCGTAATTCTATGGCCAGTCTCTGGTCTTCTTCATCCAATACTAATGTTGTAGGGTTTTCTAACCCTTCAAATGACAACCCATATAACTGGCACACGTCTTCAAGTGTGGGTCCCATCTCACCCCATGTTGTCACAACGGTATGTGTCTCAGTGCTCCACCTCGATATTAACAACTCGATCGCATCATGATCTCGAGGGATAATCAAAGTCCTGAACAAGCGCGTACTGACTCTAAAGCCTTAGCGTCATGCAACCGCCGCACAAAGTCCGGCAACGCCAAAATCTCATCTGTCCATTCATCCCACACATTACTCGGACTATAGTGTGTCATCAGATCAATGAAAGAGAATGGAATATAGCCCCTCTTTATGTTAAAACGAAGCACTGACCTAGCCGGAACAAGCGGCTCGGCCCCAATTTTCGCCTCCGGCTCCATTATCGCCGCTACCGCCGACGTACCTCGCTCTTCAACATACTGTTCAGAGCGATACCAAAAAAAGTCCCTCCCACCAAAAAAAGGGAGCTTTATACCATTCTGAATCCGGTGGCACATTGGGTAGAGGTTCATCTTTTTTGGATAACTCCCTTCGGGGAGGTATCTTCTTCGACCAAGCAAGTTTCTTTCTGCAACCACGGTTTTTTTCTTTCCCTTTAACACTTCGCTCTTCTCACAAAAAAGCCTTTTCTTGTTCTGTCTAAATTAATCGGAGTTGGCAAAACAGCGTTTGATCTCTTCCCGCTTTCTTTTAAATATAACCATAACGGAACGGGAAACGACGCAACTCTTATGATAATCATTGCCCACGTTTGGTGTTTTGAACGGCGGCATTAATTGAACTAGCACGTCTGTCGATTTCTTTCCCTCAACAAACTCTATAACTTTTGCACGCCTCCGCTCTCCTCCGATACCACACGCGCACACGAGGATTAATTGTGGGGATTAAGCCCCCCAATGCCACTTGACACATCCGACGACACCAAAGTCCACTCAAGGCGGGTACTTTGGCAAACTGAAGGACAAGGAGCCCACGCACCTCGATCGAGACATTGGCAATCGCATTTATGAGCCTCAACTACCGCCGTCTTCGAAAGGATGGACATTTAATGTAATAGTACTTAGCCTCAAGGTAAAAAGACTGGGATATCCCTATTATATCAGCATAGCCATCATTGCTTCCCCAATGGAAGTGGACTTCCATACTCGTATAAGGGCCTGGGCCTGGGCCTATAAATAAGGAACGAAGCTCCTAATCGCCGGAAGTTCCATTGTACTTTGTATTTAGATATCTTCCCATTTATTAAATAATATGGATTTGTTATATATTCACTATTTGTGAGTTAGTAGGCATCTAAAGGTCCTTACGACACTCACCGAAATCTGGTGAGTTAGCTTAAAATTAAAACATTTATTATTGTGAGCAAAAAATATTAACAATTTTATTTTCAGTGATGTTGATGTTGCATTCACAATCACTCACAAATCAGAACTATCTTAATCAACAGAACTATCTTTTTGATTAAGTACTTAATAACAAATTTTCTTTTTCCTCTTGTATGAAAGCCTTTTCCTCCAATCATTTAAATAGTAATATGCTCTTATAAACTTGGATCTTGATAAAACATATGTAACGAAAATAAAAATGCTCTATAAAAAAAGTTGGAAATTTATTCTTAACGTTCACATCAAACTTATCTTTCCAAAAAACGCACATAATACAAATACGTGTGCGAGATTAGTCTAAAAAAATTTCATGGAATTGAAATTCAAGTTAATTTTTTTTGTTCATGAAATTTATTTTATTTTCAGCAGAGGATCTTTGAGTACAAATTAGATATCTTAGAATTGAAATTGACAGGAATGATATTTCAATTTTTAATTTTAACACCACTAATTAATTTTTTTAAAAATAGAATGAATTTAGATTTCTGATTGGACCCTCCAAACACAATATAAAGCTACTTAAGTTAGAGCCGGCCCAATAAGACAAAAAGCACACGCTAGACACCTCTTCGCAAATCGGAAAAGCCGAAAATGTCCGGTGTTCGGTTTCTGTTCGCCAACGGCGTCGTCTTGCCTTCCTCCGACACACCTCCTGTATCAACCTTCCTCGAATCTCATCCAGGTTCGCGCCAAAACTCCATTGTCAATTTTTATTTTTATTTTTTTGCTTTTGAAAATCGTTTTCGAAACTACCTCTCGCACTAAACACTCGCACAAACTTGCTTTGAGTCTGAAGAAATTGTTTATATACAAATTCAGGTGCTTACACGACCTCTCGCACTCACAACGACGCTTCACTCCTCTTGTTCTGGGAAAGACATCTTCGCAGACTCGCCGATTCGGCTAGAATTCTGTTGAATTCGAATCCGAATCTTTTATTCGGATCTGAGAAGTCTAGGGTTTCGAGTTTGACCCCATTGGGACAATCGTCAGTCTGGGACTCGGTAATTCGATCTCTTGTGAATGATTCGGTGGGGAAAGTGCTGCCTATTGCATTGGGAGAGAGGAAAAGTGGTGAGGAATTGGCAATCACATCTGTTGTGAGTGGCAATTCGGAGAAATTGTGTGAAAATGGGAGTTTAAGTGAAGAAATGGTTTCTAGTTTTCTTGATGTGTATGTACATGTGGGGATGTATGTACCTCCTGTGTTTGGTGTTCGAGAAAATGGGGCGCATTTGGCCGTGGTGGGTCGAGGGAGGGATGTTGCCAATGCAAAGTATTCAGATTGGGTTAGGTATTTGGAGTTGTACCTTAATTGTGTATTATTGTGAATTTGGTTTTTTTGTTATGTAATTTTTGGACTTTGTTATCTTGGTAGGCTTAGGAAGTCTTTGGAGAAGCTGAGGCCACCTTGGGCTACAGAGCTCTTGTTGTCAAATGACGGTGATCGGGTACTAGAAGGTTCTGTGACAAACTTTTTCGTTGTGTGTTGCAAGGTAAGAGACAAGGAATTGCGGTGTTTACTCTTTGTCAAGTTGACTTGATGTCCTTTTTAGTTTCTGTATTTATTTTATGGAATTACAGACGATGAACAAAGTTTTAGTTATTTGTTAGCTTGGTAATCATAAACTCGTAATACAAAGGTTGACCAGCCAAGTTGTGTGCGCACATTTGGAACAGATTTTAAGAGACATTATACTTGCAGAATGTATTGTATTGGATTCGGTTATATGTTAACTACTGACTGATTTGCCATATATTAACTTTTGACTAGTGGTTGTGCCAGCTTGAGTCGCTCTCAGGCACCCAAAGTTAGCTTAGCTAACTAATTTGCCAGTCTGAAGACCATTGATAATGTCCTAATTTGGCAGAGTATACCATAGTGTCTTACATAATGACACAGTCTCCCAGTAAGTACAAATCATAATTGCTTATTTTTGGGAAAAATAAATGGTACTTGTAGTTGTATATTGAATTTGTGATTTATACTTCCCACCTTAGTAACTTGCTTGACTGTCTATAAACAGATGCAATCTATAACCAGTTACAATATATGCAGTAATTGTTTAGAAGCTTCTGCGGTGTGTGTTACCTTATATTCACCATTAAGTATTTATTAGATGCTTTATGAAATGTGTTTTCAGGAGAACTATAATGATAGCAATGATGGTAAGGGGAGTGCATGTTCGGTTGAAATACAGACTGCTCCCATTAGAGATGGTGTCCTTCCTGGGGTCATACGTCAAGTAATTGTTGAGTAAGTCCTTTTGTCTCCTGGTACTCAAGATATTTTTTATTATAGAAGAATCGGTTTCTCTTTCTTTCTTCTTTTTTGAAATTCATGCTTAAAACTCATTTTTCTTTAGATTTGGGAGGTATAATGTAGCACCGGATAGCAACAAAGCTGCCACTTCCGTTTTTAACAATTAAGACTGAGTGTTTACTGTTACATTTCCTTTCACAAAGAATTCCCTATAACATTGACTAAGGTTCATAGATCATGTAGAGATGGTTCCTTGATAAGCGACATCCACTATCAACATTTGAGAGAGTGGGAAGGGTTTTTTTTACATTCATTTGGACAGCATGGAAGATAAAACCTTTGGTTGGGCATCCATAAGAGTCCTAGAATGTCACTTATAACCCAAAAAAAAAAAAGGTCCTGGAATGTGGTTTAGATCCTCGAATGTTGTTGATATTGGATGTGGAGATCTCCATTGGTTACACAATGACCTGCAATCTAATTCAGATGACAGATAAGAGTTGATATTTTGTTCTAATTTGCCATGGAGAATCATAGATCTTCCACCTTCTGGCCTGGGTATTAGGTTTTACCACATATATATTTTTTTGACAAGTCTATTAGGTTTTATCAATTTAATTCACAGGGAGCAAACAGAAGGATGTCTTTTAATTCTCATCCGGTTATCAGTGACATCAATGTTTTTCTCCTAAACATGAATCACTTGGAATTATTAAAAGTTTTTAAAATTCTCTAGGCAAGTGTATTATGATAAAGTTTATTCTGTTTATAATTCAGGCTCATAGTCAGAACTAGCTGTATTTAAGGTTTACTGTAACTTTTAGTTGTTGCAGCAATGGTTGCTTATAAAGAAAGTAAAGATTCAAGAGATCCTCTTGGTTGTCGTGAGGCATATAATATTTTCCCCTTTTGGATTGAAGAAGATTAATCAGCGGGCTTTTAAGTAATATTGTCAAAAGTGGATATAGTTTTAGAATTGGAAATCAAGTGCTAGGCACAGGAAATGGTAACCCCAGATTCCTCTTGGTGAAAAATGATGCACTCATATTTTACTGTTGAAGGCTGTTTGAGCTTACATGAATTTCCAAACCAGAGACCGAACATACCAGTAAATACAACCCCCCTCCTCCTCTGTGTGTGTGTGTGTGTGTGTGTGTGTGTGTGTGTGTGTGTGTGTATATCATGCCATATAATAAACATCACCACAGTGGTTGCAATTACCATTCCAAACATGTCAAATGTTTTAAGCTGCATGCTTCAATGGAAGCCTTTCCAACTGCAGTGCTCGCAATCAGATATGGTTCGAACCAAATATCAGAATGCCTTTGTTTTGATGAGTGTTGCAGCCTATTTCTGGCACCTGTACCCTTCATTAACTGTGAATAATCAAATCTGCAAAGCCTTGACGCTTATTGCAACATTTGACTTTGACCTATTCAAACCATACTAAGTAAAGCATTTCATCAATAATCTTTTCTTGATTTCATTTGAATATTGACTTTACAACTCTAGTTAAACCAACTTAACCACAAAAATCACATAATTTTACCAAATGTTGATCTAATATCACAGTTATATTGACCTACAATTTACCCTTTCAATAACCATGGTTGAGTGTGAACTTCACCCAGAATTTCCCTTGAGCAGAACGTTTGTATCATGCTAAACCAGGCCAGCAGCCTGGTTTCCAATCTGCAACTGATCTATAGATTAAATTCATTCATTATGCGCTCGTGACAGTTTTCATTTCGTGCAGCATATGCTCAAGCAATGGAATACCACTTCGAGAAGTTGCACCATCATGGTTAGAACGTGAAACTTGGAAAGAGGCATTCATTACAAGTAAAGTTTTCTGTCCTTTCTTATATTTTTCCGAGGCAGGTGATTACATATAGCAGAAAATGTGCTAATTACTTCTAGACCTTGGGATTTTGGGCCTTTGGGCTTTCACCTTGTTGTAAGAACTTAATACTAGTTTCACTGGACCTTTTTGTAACTGCACTGAATGTTTTAACAGTGAATTATATGGTTCAGTTGTTGGGATATGGACGTTCACCTTGTTGTAAGAACTTAATAGTTAATACTAGTTCCACCGGATCTTTCAAACCTGTTGAAATTTCCATTGCCTTTTCAGTGGTAATCTTACAAAGTTCATGTGGTTTAAACAACTAATTGTCTATTTAGTAACTACTAACTAGTGATTTTTAGTCTTAGTATCTTGACAAACTTGTGACTTACCATTCGGATTGTAATGTTGAATCACAAAGCCAAATGTCTATGTCTCTCTCTTGTGCTATGGATCTGGGGTCCATCAGCCATGTTGTTCACTTTTTCTGAAAACATCAGTGTTGCTCAATCTAAATGCTTGATGATTAAGGATAAGTTCTTATCCAATTTGACAGTACAGCATGCATTGTCTCTAGTCATTGAAACTTGTAAGATCTTGTTACTGCCACCTGGGAAAGTGCAATTTAAGGAGTTCTCTGTTGCAGGTAGCTTGAGGCTTTTGCAGCATGTGGAGACAATTCGATTTCCAAGTTCATGGGAATCGCTGGAATCAAAATCTTGGAAGATGGTAAAATGGGAGGAGAAGCGGTTTGAGGTATGTGAACTAAGGGTAACAAAATATGTTGACCTTGAGCTATTGCGAATATACTGTTTGCTGATGATATCGTGCGTTTCAATATCAGGGTCATGGGAGGACCACAACTATAATTCAGGTAATTGATAGATAGTTTACTTCTTCCTAGCACCATTTGTCACTGTGTGATTATTCATCAATTTCCCTTCCGTAAGAGGAATGATTAAGATGTCAGCAGATCCAATGGAGAAAAGTGACTGTGTCTAGTTCAGTTTCTTAAAATACTTAAATCACTTCTGAAAAGGCAATAAAAATCATTGCACAGTGTTGGTCCTGTGTAGGATGCTGGGTGTACTAGATTGAAAATAGACTTAATTTGTTATGTTGTACGAAGAGTCTACTCTTAGACTTGATTTAGCATCAATGCTTGTTAAACCCTGTATTTTCACCAATACTCCAAGTACTGGTCCGCAATCTATCACCTTTGAGAATGAAAATGATGCAGAAAAGGCATTTGGCAGTGTGTATTAGATATTATTTTCCATTGTACTTCAAAGTTTCTCAAGTTCTCTTTTTTATCTTATTGGTCAAGGGAAGTATATTTTGCTGTTAATAATGCACCTTCCAGATTGAAATGCATTATTGAAACCTCAAGTCCGCTGAAAATTTCCGGTGCCATTTGACTTCATCACTTGGGTGTGTCATCGGTCATTGGGGGTGTCTGTTTTGCATGCTATGCATTTAATCCATAGCATTTGCCAACGGATCTGTTTGTTTCAAGAAGGAGATCTGGTGGGCTGTCTTTTGGCGCTATGGGGAAAGGGATCTGGGGATGGTACTGGAGAACTCTCACAATATTCTTTTCTTTAGAAAAGAAGGTTGATAATCATCGAAAAGAGTGGCATGCCCCACACTGAGGATAATGTTAGGGGAATGGAAACATCAAAACTAACATGGTTTGAGATATTAAGAAAAGAAAAAATATATGTTGTTTAACTAAAATTATCTTAAATAGAATATAATGATGAAGCGGGATTTATTTAGCTCTCTCGGAACAAATAGGATCAGACTTTTTTGAGTTGAATATAGTTGAGTTAATGTGATGGCAAATAGAGTGACTGCTTTACCTTGAAACTATGGGGTTGATGTGCTTCTCAGTTTCATACATATATATAATATATGCTGAGACTGTCTTAAAATGTTCAGAAAATTCTCAACTCATTAAATCATATTAGGGATACAACATTCATTCACCTCTTTTAAGTTTTAGCTTCTCATGCTCTGCATAGTGACTGCAAGGGAAATATGTTTGTTGCATGGAAAAGTTAGTGCATCCATCAAAAGTAAGGCGGTGCTGCTCTATTATGCTATGTCATGATCACATTTTTTTTCAGCACGATCATTTGAACTAGTGATATTACTCTTGTTGAAAATTGTATATACCTTTTCATAATTTAATTTCCATGAAACAAATGAAGACAAAACTAATGAATTCTCTTCATTGTTATGAGCAGAAAGAGATCATGAAGAAAGCAGATCTTGAAGGGTACCCAGTCCATTTACTCAATCACTGATAGGCGCTGGTGTCTTTGTTGTTTTTGCTGTCAAGGTGGAGCAGAACTGCGATATTAGCGCTCATTCTGGTTGTGGATTCGTAATTTCTCTAACATGTAAGCTATCATTGTTACGAGGCTGGTGTGTCCTTGATTTAGCAATAGCCCTAGAAGAGAAACATTTCATTTTGTCTAGAGAAACAAATGCAAGACAGCTAAAGCTAACCCTAACTGTGCAAAGATCCAAGACAGCTAGAGAAACAAGGTTTTCTGCCCCTGCTTTTCTCCAGCGGTGCTCCCGGAATCTGCACTGCTGCGTTTATATACAAATGCTTGGGTCTCAGAACTATGGACTTCCATTTGTACTAAAGCTAACCCTACCATTTACAGAAGTGACAGCACTGGAAGAAAGAGCAAGTTGGTACATTTTAAGCTCATGGTTTGATTGATCTTGTAGTGCACACTGAATGGTGCCCATTCAGTTAGGTCAGAAAATGCACATGTCTTGTAACATGCTTTTGGAGTCATCTCCGTGATCCATAGTTGTTCACGATGCAAGATTTTGGACCGTTTTAGTCTAGCCTTTTCTTTGAGCAATGCTATACAAATTTTAAGTTATAAGATTTTGGACTTTATGTTCTCTGTTTTTCTTTTTAGGAATGTTACACATAAGTTTAGACCGATTAAACAATGCTACTAATACATATAATCAATAGGTATCTTCGTGTGTAGTTTGCAAGATGTCACCATGGTTTCTTTCTACTCAAAATCGTAAGTGAGATAATATGTAAAAAGGGGGGGTGTGTTTTTTTTCGGTTATTGAAAAAAAAAAAAAAAAAAAAAAAAAAAAAAAAAACCAGATAGGCTCGTAGCCCAGTGAGCCTCTCATAAAACTTGAGTGCCTAGGCACGAGCCTTGGCATAAAAAATAATAATAAAAAAAAAGTACGTGTTTAGTGTAATGGTTACGTGAATAAGAAGGATTAGTATTGTCTAACTTTAAGTAAAATTGTTGGCTAAATTTCATTTCCTTTCTATCAAGTTTGTTAATATTTTTTCGCAAGAGTGTTTGTTAATATTTTTATTAATAAGAATGTTGAAGGAGATGGGAGAAGGTGAAAGGTTCGAATACAGACTTTCAAATAAGGAAAGCATTTCAACAATACAACACTTCCATAAAATTTGTTAATATTTCACTTAGACTATCTTTAAGTTTTATAATTTTTTATAAATTTTCCTCATTTGCTTAAGAAGGGGGAAATTTATTTAAAATTATACGGAGTATTATTTAATAAAGTCACAGTATTAGATTGTGAACATGTATGTTTATATACGTGGAGCTTATCACAGGGTAGCAAAGCTTTGCTCTTCACTAAAATATCGGGCACAAAGGATACGTGTATGAAGCAGAAGCACGAAGAAGCGTAATAGTATGAGACACTGTTGTTGCAAAATGTACCTACACAACCAACGGTGTAGATACAACACATTCAAACCCAGAAAAAAAAGCTCAAAACTCTCGTCAGATTCGTCTTCTTTCTCTCTCTTCTCTTCTTAATCGTCCGATCTCTCCCTCTCTCTCTCTACAAAAACAACAACTCCATCGACGCGCGCCAAATTATAAATCTTCTCTCTCTACAGGTAATCAACCACCTTCCCCCCTCTCTCACTAACTTTCTCTCTCTAAAATTTATCCGTTCTCCTTCCATGTTCGGTCGTGGACAAGCTAGGGTTAGGTTTTTTCATTTCGTTCGACGGTTTTTGCTGATCATTCGATTATGATCTTAGGGATCCGGGAACGATGGCCGATGGTCCGTCGAGTCCCGCCGGCGGGAGCCACGAGAGCGGCGGCGAGCAGAGCCCTCGAGGAAACGTTCGCGAGCAGGATCGGTATCTTCCGATCGCCAACATTAGCCGGATCATGAAGAAAGCATTGCCGGCCAATGGGAAGATAGCCAAGGATGCCAAGGACACGGTTCAAGAATGCGTTTCCGAGTTCATTAGTTTCATCACCAGCGAGTATGCGATCATATATGTATATATATTTTGTCAAATGGTTTTTCAAGTTGTACTGATTTGGGGTTTGTGTTGCAGAGCGAGTGATAAATGTCAGAAAGAGAAGAGGAAGACGGTCAATGGCGACGATTTGTTGTGGGCAATGGCGACGTTGGGTTTTGAAGATTACATTGATCCGCTAAAAGCGTACCTAAACAAGTACAGAGAGGTGATCACTTTATGTTTGGTAATTGGTATTGTATTGGTTATCTGGTTCGACGTGATATAAGCGAACATAGATTTTCTCTTTAGAAATTTGATTCTCTGTTTGGTTTTGAGAAAAGTGAGAAAAAAAAAGTGAGCTTTTGAGGATTATCTTATTTTTTTATTTTTAAGAAAAAAATCTAGAACTCAAATTGTTGAAGTCGTTAGTTGTGTTAGGCCTGAAGATTCTAGTTTTATCTTGTTAATTTTCTCTGCAACCAAACATGGAATTAGTTTATACATGTTTGATTTTACTTTAACTTTTGCATATTTCTTATGAGTTCAATCTAACACTATTACCTTCTTCTTTCTTTTTCTTTTTTTACTTTTTGCTCCATCAATAATGATGATGATCAGTTAGAGGTATGTGATTATTTTTTTTCCCAACTAAGTAACATTGTTTCCCATTTTTGTTCATTTATTCAATTGTTGTGTAGGTCTTTGTTTAGCTTCTATAATTGCTGATGCTGTTGGTAAATTGTGACCTTGGACAGGGTGACACTAAAGGATCTGCTAGGGGCGGAGATAATTCTGCTAAAAAGGACACAGTTGGATCGCAGCTCGGCCCTAATGCTCAGGTGCTTTAACAAATAGTGTTTTTCCAAACCACTAGGCCTTTTACCTGGTTTATATAATATCCGCACCTCCAAAGGGGAGGTTGAGGGTTCAAGCCCCAAGCAGGGCAAATTGTTTGAGTTGCTTGCTTACCAAAAAGAAAATCTTTTTCTCAAATTTTTTTTCTTTCAAACTGCAGTTAGTCAGTAACTTCAAATTCTTGCTGCTTGCATCATTTGATTTTGTTGAACGAATTCCTCTCACAAACTTACTTTATTGTCTTCCTTTTTTTGGCCTCTCGGGGTGAATAAATATTGCAGTATGCTCATCAAGGTTCATTTACTCAAGGCATGAACTATGTGAATTCCCATGTGTGAATTACCAAGTAAATCTCTCTCTCTATCTCTATCTCTATCTCTATCTCTCTCTCTGTGTATAGTGTTTGCGTGTTTATTTGTCATAAGAAAAATGAAAATGCAACTTGTGCAAAATGGGCAAATTGCAACTTCTAAGTTTTCTGGTATTATTTTGTTTTGGTATTCACTTGAAAGACTAACAAAATGGAGATTATTGACTATTCATGGAAGTCATTTGAACATCTGCCTTTCATGCATATACATGTAATTACTCATTAGGACTTGTGAATGCACGGTACCCTTTTTACATTTGACTTGAACAAAAAGGAAAGTTGTCCATCCGCTCAGATGCCAAGGCAAATGGGCTAGAAACCTTTTCATATCAAGAACCTATTTACACATGCGTTTCTGCCTTGCCATTACTCCTACTGATAAACCGCCCAACACTTGGAAGTGGTTTTATTTTTGTAAAATAAATTGTCGCTTGCCGCCCGATAGATTTGATCTGGCTAGTTTTAAAAATCAAAGGACTCTAGCCATTGCTCCAACACTTCTGTTTGTTTGTTATAATGTAATACTTAATTTTTAACTATTTTTAGAAAGTTGAATCATATAAACCAAAGTGAATCTAGAAAGTTGCAACATAGCATGACTCGAAACCTAACACAATTTTTAAAGTCAAGGAATCCTATCCACTGGAGCAGATAGTATTTCTTCAAATGTTACTCCAAAATTAATATTTTCCAAAAGGAAATAACTGTTTAATATTTTTGAATGTTATAAGCTTTGGGGTCACAAATGAAATATATGGTATGGTTAATAAATTTATCATACTTTTAAATTGTATTATATATTTTTTATTTTCACATATTATATATAGTATGAATTTTCATTTATTTTATACTTAAATCTATTAAAGTATAATTATTAAGCATTTTTAATAATATTGGTTTAGATTTCATGATACTTGTTTTAAATGGACTTAATAAATTCAATAAAATATAGTAAAATTCACCAAAAAAAAAAAAAAATCATTTTTATTGAATCATATTATTAAAAATTGCTTTTCGGTGCATTTTGGACTCTATGTGCAAGGTTGAAAGAATTTACGATTGCGATGACTGAATCCGTTATGTAAAACTGATACGAGCGCTATTCCGTTACATCGTGACTGCAAACCTTGCTTGAACGGGCGCCAAAATATCCCAATGTGGGATTATGATGCAACACATTTTTGCCCTTGTCATAGTCATTATGGTCATAACATATGCCTTCTCACTCTCTATGGTGCAAGGACTGCGATTAAATATAATAAATTATACCGCAGTTCGGTGAATTATAAAGTACTCTGGCATCTAATATGATCAAGGAACAATCATCATTGTTAGATCACAACTTAACATAGTTATGGTCCTTATGGATCCTTCATAACTGTTGTTTTACACCAAAATCGTACCATAATTGTTGTGCTTATTATGCAACACAGAGGAAGACATCCCTTTGCAGGGGATTATGGTGAAATATTGGACTAAACTACAATCTCAGTAATCACAATGCATCACAATATATTTAAGAGTATATCGTAAATCTAGACAACAATAGCAAGTTAAAAACGCATAGTCACACCATTGTCACTATGGTCGCTGTATACTGCAGAATAATGGGGCATTAGTGGGAACGTGGAACTATGTTGCAAGTTTACAGTTTGCATAGTAGCAGTACAATGAGCCCAATGAGGAGCTCTTTTTTATTTCGTTGCTGATAAATTCTTTGTTGAGACTGCCTTTGATTATGCATCTTTGACGGATTCTTTATAGAGCTTCTTTTTTTTTAACATTATATCCTTGGCTAATATTCTTTGGTGGCTTTCTATTTTCCGCACCTCTTTTTTTAATATATTGACTTGGTCAATTTTTGTTTTTTTCCAGCCTGGCTATATTTACACCCCCTAATGTCACTAAACCCCCTAAAGTTTAGAAAGCATGCAAATAAGGACATCCTGGCACATTAAACTCGTGCAAAGGCCTAAAGACCTTTGCAACAACATTTCTTACATTATTTTTTAAAAAAGATTGAAATGGGAAATGACCAAATTGGACATTGTTCATGTGATCAAATTATTACCTCGCATCCTTCTACTCTCTTTCATAGCGGACTCTCTCTCTCTAAATAGCCTGTGTCCATGGCCACTGAAGGATGGAGAGATCATGAAAAATAAAGTAGGTAAAGGTTATTTATGTATGAGGTATATAGGAATCTACTTTTCATGAGTATATTTAGAGCACATTCTTGACTATACAAAGAAGCACAAAGAATAGAACTGTATGTCAATGTCTTGCTAGCATCCCAAAGTAGTCTTTTAGAATCTGTGTGGTTGGATCAGGTTCTTCCTTGTCTGTTGCTAATGCATTGTCAAAGCTACTTCACAATCAATGTATAATTAAAGCAAATATGTATTAAATTTGCTTCCACCACACACAAATGAAAGATAACTGTTCCCTAAGCATTCATTGTAACCAAACATGTTGAAATGATGTCCCTGATATTTGGTTGGCTTATTGTTGGCCATGAATTGTGATTGCTTCTAACAAGATACATGATGAAATAGGGTCATCAAAATCATATGGGTAAAGTGCCAAAAAAAAAAAAAAAAACCTTGCTATATACAGAATGTGCAAATACCCCCAAGTGTTCCAAAACCCCCTTACATTTTCGAAATTTAGCAAATAAGGACAATCTATCAATTTAGTGATTGAAATGTCTAAAATACTCTTACAATAAAATAAATAAATAAATAATGAAAAGGCAAAATGTCCAAAAAGGACAGTTCCTTAAACGATGTGGCTGATTTGTGAGGGTATTGTAGTCATTTAAAAAGGGTATTTTAGGTTTTAATAGATTTTTTTGGTTAAATTGGTCAGGGGGCAAATTGCTACAAATGTTCTAATGTTAGGGATTTATATTAGGGGTGTTCAAAAAATTCGGTAAACCGAAAAATCGGACCGGATCGTACTGAATTGGGCGGTTTGGGCTAGTTGTATAGCGATTTGGTCCGGTCCTGGGCCAAAATTATGGAACTGTAATTTTTCGGTCCGATCCTAGTTTAGGATCATGCTGGACCGGACCAAACCGTTACTATGTTATATAATAAATATTTATATATGTATATCGTATCCTAAACCCTAAATCAATTGAAGTTCTCACGTGCTCCCTTTCTTTCTTTTGTTCTTTAAATTCCTTATAAATTTCTTTTTAAAAAAGTCAAATTTCCCTTTTCAAATATATTTCAATTTTCTTTCCTTTCATTTCAAATATATCTCAATTTTATTTCCTTTTTTTCTTCTTAAAATTCTTTTTTTTTATTATTTTTATTTTTTACGTATTATATCAATGTTAGTTGATATTTTATTTATTTATTTTTTAAAACTTTGCCCCCTCAAAATTAAAATAAAATAAAAAGAAAATCAACTGAGACCGACAAACCGAACCGAACCAAACCGGTTTTTCGTGGTTTGGTTCCATGAATATTATAGTCTGGTTTCAAAAATAGTGAAACCGTTATAAATGGTTTGATCCCAAAATACTCTTAATCCGGTCCAAAGCGGACCGTGTGCACCCCTAATTTATATGCACATAGAGATCACAATATAAAAGTTGCCAATTCAGGACCATGGTCACAAGCCTAGTTTCCTATATTGTTGATTGTTGAGTTTGCTAATAGCTTATTTATAAGCTGGGAGTATGCAACAAATAGATTCTCCAAAACCCATTCACCGAAGCGACAAAGATTATAGTATGGTAGAGAGGAGAGAGAGCCGAAGGAGAGAGATGGGTCAAATCAGCCAGGGGCATTTTTGGAATGCTAAAAGGGAAAAAACGGAATAAAACATATATTTTATGTCACGTCACAGAAAAAGTGGTTTGAGGGGGGTATTTGCACCTTTTTTCAAAATTAGGGACTGGCACAACACATTTTAAAAAGTAGGGGGTCATCGTGCTACCTCGCGTATACTACAGGGGTTTTAAGTGCACTTAACCTCTTCTTTTTAATAAAAAATACAAATATTACCAATGATAATGATAATTTTTTATGAAAAACAATGAAAAGGACAAAAATAGTTAAGTATTATTTTATATATTTTAAAACTAAACAGGACAAGTTCATGATGGAACAAGTTAAACCTGCCCTTAATTCGATAGGATACACCCAAATTCATTCCAAGAGGGTAGGGCTACACACTTGGCTGCTTTGATTTTTATTATAGTTGGTTTGATATGAATGCATAAACTTGACTTCTTTGATTTTTATTATACATGGGCCTGATGCACCTAACAAGATATGTGCTTAATGGATCTAACATATTGAAACCAAACAGAAGCTATTTGATGGGTGTCCTATATTAGTGGGCTATATGTATATATATTTACAAGCTTTAAGCGAGCCTGTTTACGATCTCGTTCATGAACAAATGAGTAAAGAGATGTTTGTGCTTGGCTCGTTTCATGAGAATTATGATGGAGGTCGGTTTGTTAATTAATTAAACGAGGATGAACTGAGCCCTTGTCAAGCTGAGCTGTTTATGAGCAACTTGATTCGTTTGTAGTCCCTTGTCGGGATGGATAGCATTGCATCCCTTCGCTTGTCAGTAAGCATTAGAGGCATGTAGAAAAACTAACATTATATAGAAAAGATGGAGAGACAAATATCAAGTGAAGTTCTCACTTATACAGAAATGTGACCCCACCATGTTTGGACTTTACTATACCATGATCTGGCTGCTTGAATCTACTGATTATTCGTTAAAAGGGTTACAATATTTCCATTACCTCAGTTGATAGATGACTTGATTATGGTCTGTTAGGACCTTAACCTGTAGTGTTGCTACAGATGGTGGCACATGTACTCTGCCTATGGACATGGTTCTGGCATGACTCAATATAAACATACCGACTAAAGTGGAAGTTCAAAATCTAGGACACACCATGGTGGGACATGGCAACAGAGAAAAATGATTATGATAAAATCCAATATTTCATAGTTGTAAATATTAATATATGGCCATAGCAGTCAATTATCATGATAATTGCATAGGTAAGGACAAAATGTATGTTTATGTAAGCATATATGTGTAGATATACATACATCCCACTCCTATGATAGAACCTTGTATGTTACTTTGATACTTGAATTGTGGTTACAATGCTTAGGCAACAAAGACCTTACTTGAATTGTGGATTATCACTATTATTTGAGAAGAATATGGTGGGGTGAATAATTTTGTGGCCCCCTGAAAAAAGGAATAAAAGTACATTACTTCAAATAGAAGAGTGAGTTACTTGTTTCCATCATTTATTTAGGGGAAGAAAAGGGAGAAGAGAGAAGACTGTACCTTTTGCCCAAGTTTTTGAGGGCCATAGCCATCATCATATTGTATGATGGGTGTCTTTGCTCTTTGTTCTCACAGATATTTTCTTGATTATGTTGTTTCTCCGTGTCCTCATGTAATTTGATACCACTGTTCCAACTTACGGTCAAAAATTATGTTTTACTTTTGTTGTGATCATGTTCATTTATCAGGGAGAAAAGTTGAGAACATTATAGATTGTTGTCTCTTAAGAATTAGTTGAAACCAAACTTATTAAGAAGGTTTGAAGTTTTCATGACCACAAGGAGAATTGCTGTATATGAGATTAAACATTGTATGGGAGATGTTTTATCTTATGCTTTCCCGTGCATTCTTGCTTTTGTATTTTATGTTTTAATGTTGGTTTGGGTTTCTGATGATGTCTCTTTGAAATCTTGCAGAAACAAGGACAGCATCTAATTATTTCTCTCGTGGAAGGCACCAAGTAGGGATCTCCAGCTTTTCTGTTGCTGATTCCCCAATTTGGAATTATTCCATTAGTAGATATTGTTCAATACTTGCAGCATTTTCTTATATTATTATTATTATTTTTTTATCATATCTAATCTAAAATACTGTAATCTTTATAATTGGGAGGTTTCTTTCTCTATGGGGTCCTTTTTAGTTGGTGAAAAAGAGCCGGTGAGAGATATTTAAATGCTTTTGGTGCGCTGTTTTTAACATCTGAATTATGACTTGATATATATCTTCTGTACATTTGAGTGGGTCATTTCATGTAATTATAATTGTTCGACACTCAAAGGAAAGACTGAACCTTTGTGTCCCTTTCTTAATTTTGTGTCATGATTGTTGGATGTTTTCTAAGCCGTACAATTTGCAAAATTCTCTCCGACTGCCTAGTCAAAATTTTGCACTTTTTTAGTCATTCCCAAAAAAAGCTTCTTTATGCACTCGCCTCTAAGCTGTCTGCTTATTGCATTCATACCAGAAGAGTGTCACAACCTTACTTGCATTGGGGACTAAAAATCTTCTCGTCCGAAACCGTGTCTCGTCCGGTTAGTGATGGATCTCACAAAAATGTTGTGATGTTCAAGTATTTTCGTAATCTAAATCACCAACTTAAGGAGAGGTTCCAGGTTTTTTACTTGGCCAAGACTTTACATTTGAGTGTCTCAACATTTTCGTATGGAAAAATTATTAGATCTTCCTAAATTAGAAGACTTGAGATTTAAATTAGAGTGTTGGAACATTTTCCATGAAAGTATTATTAGAGATGGTCACCTAGTACTCTAGTTCAATCAAAGTTTATGTTCAGTAAAAAAAAAATTATTTATTATTATTTTGGTAATATCTTAATGTACTCTGTAAATTCACTTTTTCTTTGTGGTAATTATACCACATGGTCCAAGACTATTTAATTTAATTTTTTTTTCTTTTTTTCTTTTTTCTTTTTTTCTCTCTCTATGGGTATTATTGAAAAGTAGATGTATGTTGGAAGAATTTTGATTGAGGGGAATTGATCTGAGGACCAAAGAAGACAGCCTGCCACCATTTACAGATCTAGACTGAAAATGTTTTACACGTGTGTCAACCTCTCTCACATTGGAATGAAGATAGCGTGCGTGACATTCATTTGTCTACAAGTTAACATGTCAAATATAGGTGAGGTGGGCCGTGACCACTTCAAGAGCGTCGCATCGCATCATTTGTTGGCGCGCACACGCATGAAATGAAGGTGTATGCATCTTTTCACCTCTTCACTCACTCGGTCCTCACAACGTGATCATCATTTCTTTCCTGCACGAGTCTAGCCAGCTCACTCAGCGCAAAAGTTGTGTTTCATCATGTTCAAGCTCTCTCTCTCTCTCTCTCTCTCTCTCTCTCTCTCTATATGTATATGTATAAGTGTGTGTGTATAAGCGAATGTATATACATAGGAAAGATAGGGATCCTCTCTCTATATTGTGTATACCTTCGAAAGACTCAGGTCATAGCCACACGTCAAGTTCAATCTCGAATGGTACGAACTCTCCTCTCCAAACGAATTAAGTTAAAAATTTAAACTCCGCTCGAAACAATGATGTAGTGTGCGCGCATTTGCTTCAACTTCCCTCCAAAAAAAAAAAAAAAAATGTTGTTGTGGAGGCGGCAAGTGCTAACTCACATCATGAGGGTTCCAGCTAAACCACTATAATCCCCTCACCACAAACTCCCAGACTGACACACACGCAACACACACCAGCCTTTCCTCTTCCGATAAAATATTATATTCAAATTCTATGATTTAACCAAATGCTATAATACAGCTAGCCACGTTACATTAAGAGAGAGAGAGAGAGAGAGATGGAGTTTCTGTACACTTGGAGATCCTCACGTGGCCTATGTTTCTTAAACTTACACCCAGAGTGACCAGACAGACTGTGCTTAGAAAGGGAAACTATTTGCTCCTATAAAAAGGTCATCAAACAACATTTAATAATAATCTCATCTCACAAGATATCAGGACAAACAAAAGCATAAACCAATGTGACTTTTTACCCATTTAAAAAAATTATTCTAATCTAATAATTAAATAAAAAGAATTCATGACTTTCTAACTAACATAAGAATTTTTTTAAAAACATTACTCATTCACTTATCATGACATAACTTTTTAAAAGACTTGCCGATGCTAGCCAAATAAAATTTCACTAATGAACATTTGAATAAATATATAATAAATTAAGGATTGAGTGCTAAGCGTATCCTAAATATCAAACTAGGATGTGATTCCAATTATAATGATTTAATCTACCAACTCCTAGCGGTGTTTTTGTTCACGACGCGCCAGTCTAAATTGTGGTTGGTCACACGCCTCCTTAATGGGACCTAGCTGCTTGTTTGGACGAGAAAATAAAAGAAATGTTAAAATGTGAGAGCAAAAAAAATATACTCCCATCAGTAATAATTTCTATTAATTTTTGGATAAATTATAAATGAAATATAATATTTTTATTCGCAAAAAGTAAAATAGAAAAAGAAAAGAAATAATAACAATCAAATTATTACCGTACCCTTATTTTATATATATATATATAAGATGAGATTCAAGTGTCATAAGAAATTTATTACTCATATTTTAATTGTTGGGGTTATTTCTCGAATTACGAAAATAATACTTAATTTATTATTTTTTTTCTCTCTAAATCTTCTCATTTTTTAATAGATAATAAATGAGGAATTTGGAGGGATTATTAGTTGGTCATAGACCATTTAATATTTTGTGGACTAATTCAATCAAAACTGATATAATATTTTTTCTTTTCTTAAGAGTAACCCAGAGACATATCGGCGTTGACAGGAATTCAGAAGGTAAGTTCTTGAGGTTTCACTTTCGAACTTTATTCCTGACTTAAATAGTACATATATTGTGGGCCGATACACGTACTTTAAAAAAGAAAAGAAAAAAAAATAAAAAAAATAAAAAAACAAAAAACAAAAAACAAAAATCTTTTTCCTTTCTTTTCTTTCCAACTTCATCTATCACCATATTTATTGTGATAAACTCTCTTGGAAAAAATCACAATTTTAAATAGTATTAAAATGCACCAGTCACAAAATCATTATCATTCTTGTTATTACTTCGTATAAACAAAGTCTGGTCACATTCACTCTTTTATGTTATATGTTACATAATCATAAGTACATCAGTGTTCGTCATTCTTAAAGAAGTTTTAATACAAAATTTTGATTGCACTGTTAGAATAAAGGAATGGAAAAATATTATTTTGCATTGCATTCATGAAGTAAAAGATTATATATATATAGAAAAATATTTGAAAATAGGTGAATGACAATTAAGTTATTCAGACACAGTAAATAACTAGGTATATGTATAGTACATGATAACGGGTAGGTGCATGGATAAATTTGTAATTTATCATTCTCTCAAATTTAAGGTGACTATAACTATCTACCTCATTTGAGTTTGGAGGCGAGATCATGATAACGCGTGACAACATAGTGACAGAGTTGAAATAATGTGGTAGTGCGATGAAAGCGTGTGATTACCACTAAGAAAGCGCGAAAGTGCATGGTGGCAGATTCGACACGTTAAGGTGCGTGAAAACGTATGAGACAAATCCGTAAAGACCCTGCACGTTAAGACGGGTAAAAACACATGAAAGCGTAGGATTATCACTTGGGGTGCGCAAAAGCGCACGGTGGCCGATTCGTGAAGATCGGGCACATTGAGACGCATCACATCATAATTTATTTCTCAGCCGTCCGATTGAACTCCTGTTCTCCTCATACAAAGTGGGTCCACAACCTGAGCCCTGTCATACTAGGCGTTAGTGGGGTCCACGTGATCAAACAGTTGTAGGTAGTCGCAGATGAGGGAAGATGATGCTGCAGATCAAATGCATGTGTTTGACTTTGACCATATCTCGGCTTTACTTGCTTGCTTAGTGCTTAGAGACCAAAAGTATAATTCTGTAATGGCACAGCGCTGCCATATATTTTTTGGTGCATATCTTTTGTGTGTTCGGATCTCGCTACTTGCAGTAAGAATCCAACTCGTGTGAGTGATCCAAATAATTTATCACGCGTGTTACCGAATTAATCTTTTATGCTTAATAGCCAATAATGACACATCAAGAAATCATTGATTTGAGTTTTTTTTTTTTTCTTTTAAATTAGTCTCAACTCGTATTTGTTTACTAATCAAGTTACTAAACCTAAACAATCTATAGTTTGAGCCATTAGGGTAAACACGTGTATATTTATTTCAAATGGTGTTTAGGGTAAACATATTAAAAAAATGAGTGTTTGGGAATTTGTTTTGAATAAAAGACTCATAAATATGAATGGTTTGTGAATGATTGTTTGAATTTAAAATTTATTTTTTTAACTTAATAATCTTCATATTAATCTTAAATTTGGAACCGATCTCTAGATTTACGAGTAATGTTTGAGCCAAGCTCAAACACTCTTGTAAAGGCTTGAGTCCCTTAACCTGAAGTCTACAAGCAAACTCGAGTTCGAGCTCAAACAATTGAAAAGCTTATCAACATATTTGTAGCGTTGTCGTCAAAGTAAATATAATTATTCATAATATAACTTTGCTATTAAGATTTTGTAAACGGGGAGAAATTTATTTAATTTAAGTTTCAAATAATAGAGTCGAGAATTAAGCTAATTTATAAAATAAAAATAAAAAAATCCTGATGTTACCACTTCAATTGAGTAGTTTTAGTTAGTGCATCATATATTTAGAAAGAAAAAAAAAATGCATTTTAAATGTCAAATATAATTCACTTGTAATGTCACTTTATTAACCAGCTAAATTTGAATAGTCTCCACGACATATAATTAATATTAATCTTAATAAGTATAATTCTCTCCTATTTAGGGATGGCAATATGTCCCATCCTCGTGAATATCCGTTTCGCCCTGTCCCTTTTGGCGGTTTTGGAGAACGTTTAGCTTATTTGGGGGATGGTTTGATATAATGAAAACCCGTACGGGTTCGGTGCGGTGGCGGGGGGAGTTCAACCCTCCCCGCCCCACCCTGCCTCGCTTAGATAAATAAATTACTTAAGTACCCTTATTTCATTAGTATATATATTTCGCATTAGTATCCTTATTTCATTGGTATGTATATATAGGGACGGAAGCAGTTAAGGACCGAGGGCACGTCTCCCCTGGATTTTCTCCCTCTCTTATATTCTATATATATTTTATAATAACATATATGTTTTTTTAATGAAAATATGGAAAGTACCCCTTTGAATTTTCCCATTCTTCATCAAATTCTATATATGTTTCATATTTTTTTCTCCTAAATTGTTTCCTTAATACTTATATTCTATAGGTGTAAATTAATTTAATTCCAAAAATATCACTATCTCTTTCTATATATATATATATATATATATATATATATATATATATAATGTGCCCCCCTGAAAAAAATTTCATACTCCGTCCCTATATATATATATATTGAGACAGTTTGTTTTGCAACAAAATCTATAAAGCTGGAACAAGTAGCTTGCGCGGCCATTTAGAGTATTTTTAATGTTGAATTTTATGTTAAACTATTTATTGTCCATTCTATTTTATGAATCTTTTCAATAATTATATAATTTTAGTTGATAAAAAAAATAATAATAATAAGAGGAGAATTTATAATCTTAAACGGGGCGGGGCAGGTACCTACAGGGGTAAAGATATTAAAGGGGAGCAGAGATGGGGTGAAAAGTCTCCCTATTTTTACAATTTTGGACGAGAAAGGAGGTGGGGTTTTTAAACGGTTACAGGAGCAGGTACACTCGCCCACAACCACCCTGTTGCCATCCCTATCTCCATCCTTAAGCACACGTGAAATGTCATTAATAACTATATCAACTCATTTTTTACAATATCATATATTTTAATTAAATGTAAGAAAATTGATAAAATATCTTTATTTGTTTAATTTGAAAATTATAATTTTTTTTTTAACACCAACAAATATTTACACATTCCATATATAACAATAATTTTTTACATTTTACCCTTAAAAAATTTTGTAATTTTGTACAATTTACCCTTAAAAAAATTTGTGAGTTTTAAATTGAATTTTTTTTTTTTGGATGCAAAGTTTAAAACATTTAAGCAATATAACATTTCCCTTTAATTTTTGCAATTAATCTAACCCAAGGAACAGTTTAAAAGGAGGCAAACTTCTGACCGTAGGATTAGGTCAGTTTTAGTATGATTGATGATCACAAGACATGGTAGTAGACGATTTTTCCGTGAAAGATTCTAATTTCTTATTACTACTATATTAAACTACGTGACCACGTTGTCCGAATATCGATCGAATTCGCCGACAAAAATTTAGGATTTGCACGTTGCGTACGTTAAACCCGTTAACGGACTATCCACAAATCTTAATAGTACGGCGTTTATGTCCGCCTGCCCGTGAAAAAGCGCGTGGCATATCAAGATACAACAAAATAAAAAAGCACACAGACAACAAAACACACAACCATTTGAGCAGTGAAGATGAAAAGGAGACCCTGCACGTTGATGTCCTCCACCTCACCACAATGCCCATCTGTCTGCCCTTCTGTCCCTGTTTTTCTCCATTATATATATATATATATTTTATACAAACACAGAATGTGTGTGTGTACACACGAGTAATAGTGCTATGAGGTTCACTGCTCTGCTTTTAAATTTGCACAAATTATAGTCCACTTAGCCAATATTAAAATGTTGTAACTGTAAAAATAAATAAATAAATAAAAATAGTCTAATATATTATAAAATAAAATTAATAAAGTAGGTTTGCAAAAGGACACAATAATACTTATCCTATTTTGGGATAAAGACACTTCTTATATTAAATTCCAAAAATATTTTGGAAAGATAAAATTACTCCTTAATATTAAAATAAAATTTATTATAAAATATAGTATATAGTAAAAAAGACGCAATTGCCCTCAATTTATTTCAGCCCACAGTCGCAGCCACAAACCATCTCTCTCTAACCTTTCATTTCTTCGGTAACATGTTCTGTTCCTATGTGAATCCCTACTGTAACCATGTTGGTCATTTTGAAACCCTATTTCGTCACCATTAAGATCATCAGGAGAGATTCGTGATTTCAATGGCGGCCAGAGATTTCGACGCCGGCGAAGTTATGTCCGATGGGTCAACAAACGGATGGTTTTGGTGTAGTGGGATCGCCGATGTTAAGGTTGTTGGGATCACCGATGGTGAGATGAGACAACGTCGGCGATTTCGAAGACCAATGTCTGAACGGCGAGGACGGTTTGCTGTGGAAGTTACCGGAGTTGTGATAATAACTGTGGAAATTCATCTGGCGCGTGGTAGAGCATCGATGTGTGTTGGACACGCGATCTGGGGGAAGAAGATGACTGACGGCATGTTTCAGCACGTGATTTGCAGAACTGGCCGGTGCGTGGCCGGTAAGACAACGTGTGATAATGCGTGTCATGGCCGATTGCAATCATTTCGGTGGCTTGGGACGGTCTTTTGAGTGGGTTCCGTGTTGAAGAACGACAGTGAGGAACTGAACAGCGGCGGCGGGCGAGCAATGATGTCAGCGGCATGACTGAACGGTGATGAAGGAGTGACCGGCGACGAACAAGGATCGGAACCGTAACTACAAGCGGTGGTTCGAAGCGATGGTGATGGCGGCGAGCTCCTCGGCGGCGTGGTGAGCTTAAAGGACGACGGAACTGCAACCACATTCACCGCCTCTACTGCAACGTTGTCGTCGCTGCCCCGCGCGCGCGCGCGCGCGTGTGTGTGAATATATATATATAATTATCCTTGATGACAGCTCGCCATTATCGCCGCCTTGTGTGTGTGTTGATATATGTGTGTGTGTGTATATGTATATATGTGTGTGTATATAAAAAAAAAAATGGAATGTCGAAGAAGTGTTTTAGTGAAATTACTGCAGGCAATGTCATGGGAAAAGGGGCTGTTGGTGTTGGGGTGGCGAGGAGGAAAGAGAACGGAAAGAAGGAAATAAATGGGTAGGGGTTGCAAATAAAAGTTAGAAAGGTCCTTTCAATATCCAAATTGGTCAATATAAAAGTTGTAAAAATTTCAATTCATTACCATTGGAGTGTCATTGATAATTGTATCGAACTTGTGTCTTTATCCCAAAATAGGATAAATTGTATCTGTATCCTTTTGGTAAATCTCGAGGGTGTTGTTGTATTTTTCCCAAATAAAATTATAGGAAAGTTTAAGTTTAATTCTTTCGTTTTTTTATAGGAAAGTTTAATTTGATCAAAGAGAAGATATTGTAAAATTTTGATTGAATTGTGTAATTTATTATAAATGAATTTCGGAAAATTTTGATTGAATAAATTTTATGTTTATGGCTCAAAGTTTTAGTGATAATTCTATTTTGAACAAGTGGATTCAGTTGCTGGTTGCATTTAGCAGAATCGATTGTATGATATGTGCGAGAAATAGTTTCTTAATTAGTTTTGGAAGACATAAGACTTAGAAAAAGAAGGAAGATTTAACAAAAAAAAATAAAATAAAATTGAAGATTTTGGAAAAAAGTTTTACATGCTATTTTAGAGTTGGAGACTGAATAACTCATTATTGGCAAGTTATGAGAGATTAGTGTATAGAAAGAAATAGAGAAATAATTGTAGAGAGAAAAAGTTAATTTGTTGAGTTTGTGAAAAGAGAAAGAGTGTGTAATCAAGTTCTAAATTAGAGTAGATTAGATAATTTGTGGAACCATGTAAATCTTGTTTTGCTATTTTATTTGTTATATTTGTCAATTGTATATGTGAAATAACATTTTATGCATTAACCGTATTTCAAATAAGAGTAGTCATACTCACACCAAATATTTATAGTGAATACTCTAATCAAATAATTTTTTATTAATTATTTATTTTAAATACAAGTAAGTGGATGACTTGCTCTCTTATTTATTACATAACTGACTAATTAAAAGGAGTAAGTCTACCAGTTTGCTACTGCTCCGTGCAAAAATTATTTTCCTTCCAATAATTATAATTTTTTTTTTTTTTTTTGGGAATCCTTCAAAATATTTAGAAGTGCAGGTTAATAACTGTATATAATCATAAAAGGACAGAAAGCTCTGGACAACTGTCATAAAATCCACCTCAGCATCACTCAATATATACATATATATACTGTATTTATATATAATCACCAACCTGTAGTACTCTCTCACCGTCCCCACTCTGGCCTCTTTATATACACACTCTCCCCGGCCTCCCAAGTCCCCCCTCTCTCTAAACTCTCTCTCTCATTGCATGTCCAGACTCGATCCAACTCTTCGAGATCAACAACACATTCTGTAACAAATATATATATATATATAATTAGGAGTTCTGTGACCGTGAATTTTGGGTGTTCATAGAGAGAATGACAATGAGCAACAATATGGGACAGTTCGGCGATACGACGATGACCAAAGTCTTCGTCGGAGGTTTAGCTTGGGAGACCACCAAGGAGGCCTTGAGAGACCATTTCGACAACTACGGCGAGATCTTGGAGGCCGTCATCATCTCCGACAAGGTCACCGGCAGATCCAAGGGCTACGGCTTCGTAAGCACCTCCATGCTCTCATGGATCGCCGCTGCACCGTATCATAGTTTTTGCTAATCTGCGCCGTGTTGGTGATGTTTTTGCATTGCAGGTGACGTTTAAGGACGCCGAGTCGGCTAAGAAGGCGTGCGAGGAGGCCACGCCGGTCATCAACGGACGCCGAGCGAACTGCAACCTGGCTTCGCTCGGTGCTCGGCGACCGAGGTCGGCAATGACTACGCCGACTCAACAAGGTATTTTCATTTTCCCTTCTTTTATTCACAAATTCACCGCTGATGGCGTTTCAGTAAATTGAGAACTTCCATCGGTCTGAAAATTGAGTTGTTGATCATGAAGGATCGAACGTTGGACAGAGATCCACGTCGCCGGCACATGCGGGTCACGTGCAGTGGTACTACCCGCCGGCGGCGGCGGCTACGACGCCGTATCATCAGAATCACCATCAGGCTGTTCCTTTCTATGGGTATGTATGCATGTTTGTATGCATGTTTTTGTTGTGGTTATTGATCTGAGCTGGTGGTGTATGGTGTAAAGTTGGGCAGGAGCTTATGTTATGATTTCCTCTTACAGGTACTCTCCGACCTACATTGCCGCGGATATTAGTTACAATCATGTAAGTTAATCACCATTCAAAGAAGTTTCTATATGCACAATGATTTGCCCAAATCTTGAAATCTTTTCAATTGATGAAAAATGTAGTTATGAGGATTTTTTAAGCAATATTCTATTCAAAAAAAAAAATTCAATAAATAATATTCTATTTAATTTAACACTTATCAAAATACTTTTCCATAGTTTGAACTTTGCAATGTACTGAACAAGGATAATTTCAATCGAGAAATGAAATTCACTTGTTAATAGTAACTATTCTTAGTTAACAGTGCCCTAAAAGAAATTTAATCATTAAGTTGAGACAAATTGATGGCTTTTCATTTGAAGTTATTAGTCAGATTGGTCCATATTGTTTGATCCAATTTTGTGAATAATTTATAAATTTGCTTTAAAATATCTTGAATTTTTAATTCTATTTTGTGTATATATGGTACACAAATTAGTATATATAAACGCATTCCACTTTCTTTATAAATGCACCTCATTTTCTGTTTTTTAAATTAAATGATGTAAATGTCCTCCTATTTTTTTTTTTTTGAATTGAATAGTGAACAATTATGTCATTTCACATTAAAAGTGAATAGTGCATTTTTCTCCTCCCGTGCTGAGTTTCATTATTTTTACCAATTGGTATAGGTTATAGACTTTTTGTTAATTATGCATGTAAATAGATCAGACCCACTAACCAAGTGGTCCCACTGTTTTAAGCATTTACTTTGCCCAATTTGCATGATCAAATAATTTTAGGCCACAGGATCAAGAATGTTTATGATTTTGGTGAATGATGAACATTAATATTCAAGTTAGTGGTAATCTTGTACTATATGTTGTTTTAAATGAGTATAATTTTATGGTTAAATTTGGTAATTTGCTTTTTGTTCATCTGTTGTGGCGGTGCACAGAAGCTAAGCTACACCGGTGGGTCCTACATGAATGGGCATTTCTCTCAAGTGTATCCCGGCCAGCCCATGATGGGTGCCAACACATTGATGCCAATGTACCCTCTCTATCACTACCATCAATCACACACAGCAGCTCGCCTTCCACCACAGATCTATTCACCATCACCAGCTGGTCCAATGACCACAGTCCCAACGATCATCTCAAAGCCCGCATCAATGGCTCCTAACACAGGTACATACAGTACTAATAATGTTTGTGTCACACAGTAACATTACTTTACCCTAGTCAAAATACAGAGTAGAAACATGAAATCAATCTTTCACGTGAGTCTCTGATTATTTGGTCCATTGCCAGGCTTTGGCAGACCTACATTCAGAAAAAGACTAAAATACCCTTAGTTTGGAGGGATTTAAGATGTCCTTGTCAATGTTCTTAAGTATTGTTGGTGGAATCATGTAGACATGCATTCTAACACCATTAAATTTGATTTCTAACTCCACTAAATCGTGTTTTACAAATTCAGATTGTCGATTTGGTGCTTTATATTCAACCTACAACACGTTATAACAGAAGATTTAGAAGAACAACAATGTTATAAAAGAGGCTTTCCTTATTATTGGATGATGTAAGCTAACTTCTTGTGAGGCACACCACCCAACAGTTAAGGATTAAAGAGTAATAGTTGGCTAAGCATAATTATGAAACATCATTATCAAATTGAATAATTTTTAACCAAACTTGTACAAATTGCTAAGTATTATAAAGACAATCAAAAGGTAATGCCTTTGAAGTTTTTAAAAATTGGTGATGAATACTCTTACTTTTCTCAAGCTTGCACTAATGATGGTCCTCTGAGCTTAAATATTGGTGGATTGAGCACCTCTAGTGTGACAAGTTGTAATAATATATATATAATTGTAAACTGATACTACACAATACAGTTTGTTTGGCTGTGGAATAGGTACAGTTGGCACAGGTGAAGCTTTTAAAAAGAGTGGATAGAGCACTTAGTGGGCAAATAACAAAAGGATGGGGATGGTGGATGCTTACAACAACAACATTATTATATGATCTGTGTCAGCTCTCTCTTCTTTCTTTTTTTCTTTTTTCTTTTTTTTTTTTTTTTTTTTCCTTATTCTTAGATGTCTGATTAGATTCATTTGTTCCTCTCTATCTAACCTGCATCTCAACTTGAGCTGCAAACGTTAAAAAATTTATTGTAACAGTTGTCATGTTAGTTTCTCATATTCTATATATAAAAAGCTTTCATGGCTCCATTGAACTCTTCTGCATAAAGCCTCTCTCTCTCTCTCAACAGGGAATCAGGGAATACACACACACACACACACACACACACACGATGACCAATTGGTTGAGATGTCAAAGAAACCTTGCTCCAAGTGGCCAGGTTAATTATTACATCTTTGCTTATAAAATCATTGATTTACATCTGAGAAGTTAGAAGAAATATTATCTGATCATTGTGATGAGAGGGGTAATTTCGGTATTTACTAGTACTTAACTAGAATTTGCAAAGTGTGATTGCAAAGTGTGAGCTGCAAACATTAAAAAATTTATTGTAACAGCTGTTATGTTAGTTTATCATATTCTATATATAAAAAGCTTTCATGGCTCCATTGAACTCTTCTGCATAAAGCCTCTCTCTCTCTCTCAACAGGGAATCAGGGAATACACACACACACACACACACACACACGATGACCAATTGGTTGAGATGTCAAAGAAACCTTGCTCCAAGAGGCCAGGTTAATTATTATAAAATCATTGATTTACATCTGAGAAGTTAAAAGAAATATTATCTGATCATTGTGATGAGAGGGGTAATTTCGGTATTTACTAGTACTTAACTAGAATTTGCAAAGTGTGATTGCACCCCTCATAATTGATAGCTCATTTCTCAATGAATGTGGGAGTGATAGATACTATATTTGCACTCACAATTAATCATGAAGATTACTGTAATTTTGGGCTTTAAAAGCAAATTTTGAATGAGTTGGTGAGTTAGCTTAGGCCCCAATATTGGGGGAGTAATGGTGATGAAATATATATATATATATATATATATATATATATATATATATCAGTTGGTAAGTCTTTGTGATGGTAAGATGAGCACTGCGTGTTCCAGCTCATTATTTGCAATACAATCTTCACATTTTTGGTAGTGATGAAAATATAAGTTCATCTTCCTTTGTCATATGGTTGATAAAAGGTGTTTGATTTGATTGGATTGGAATTATAATTGGATGGTGTTAGTTCAAATGGAAAGAAATTTGTTATCCTTGAAGAGATTAGGAAATGTGAAAGCACAAGTGAACTAGACCATTAGATGCAAGGCAAATCACAAGCTGGCATGGACCATGGAGATTGGAGGCCATAAATTGTAGGGTGAGTACTCTTATGGTATGTATATAGAGTGTATATTTTTGAAACATTCCAAACATTTAATTTTTGAGGGAATAATGACCTGAATGCTGAAAAGACTAAAATATCCCTCTATAACTAAATAAAAAAAGAGTAAAAAAATAATTATATGTGAAATAACTAAAGTGCATGACTAAATTTGTAACAAAAAAGTGACATCAAGCCTTACTTTAATCATTTTTTCAAACTTAACGTACTTAATATACCCAAAAACGTGTCAGAAATTTGGTGTGAATGGAAGTTGTAAATCAAGAAGTCTGTAACTGAAGTGGTGCCACCATATCTTTTGCGACATAAATAACCTATGAATCTGGTTATTCATGTAAAGTGTTTCTATTATTTTCAAATTACAATGAATTCTTGACACGTGATTTAATGTTGTTGAGGATGGGTTGGAAAGTTAAGGGATGCATTGCATTTACAAGGTGCGATAAAGGGTTGTGAGAGGAAGAGATGCAATCCAAACTTATGTCTGAACCATTGCAACCCAAAATGAATAAGTGTGGGATGCTAATAAAGGGACACGCCTAATTACAAAAAGATATCGTCTTCGAACTAATAGTTGCAACCCATTGGAGTGATGTGTCTGTTCACGAAGAGGCATCGTTGTGGCTATAAATACCCCATGCTGCTATCATTCAAGATTCATTCCAAATAGAGAATTCACTTCAATTCTCTGATTTATTCTCTCCCTCTCTCATGAACCCAAGTGGGTTCAACCCAATAGTCAAGTGGTCTGAACCAATAGACCCAATATCTATAACAATGTGCCATATTGAAATTGGCTTGAGCTACATGGTAAAAATCGAACCCAAATCATATTTTCTATAGTATAAATGTATTTCTGAGTCGGAGAGAGTATTACACAGAGGTGGTTTGCCGTATCCACGAGTTTAAAATATTGCTTCTGGTGGATGTAGACCATTATATCCTGGGAGACAAACGTCGTTAAGTCTGTCAGCACCATGCGGGGCGTAAATTGTCTTAAGGATATAGTATTAAATACTAGCCTCGGTCTAGGTTCTTTATTTAGTAATTATTATTTTATTGCTTTAATTTGAATATTTAATTAAATATCGAGTTGCATATTTAATTAATTATTTTAGCGTATTATTAATTATCTCATGGCATATTAGTATTGCTATATCTTAAATGTCACGTGAAGCATATATATTTTCCAACAATCTTAAGACAATTTATTTCTTGCGTAGATTTTATTATATTCTTCTATTTAAGATATAAACAAGTAGAGATTATACTAATAATTGAGATATAATAAAATAATGTTATATACAATATTATATGATAATTTGCTAAATATTGATGTGTTCAATATTATGTGAAATTGAAACATGTTATATAAGTAGATTATTGAATTTTGTAATATGATTTTATGTAGTATATTATATTATCTTAAATTTGTGCCAATTAGAGGTGGAAAAAGGTACTTCGTTACTTTTGTCAATGATTCCAAAAGATACTATTATGTTTATTTGCTACGGAGTAAAAATGAAACCTTAGAAATGTTTAAACATTACAAAAATGAGGTTGAGAATCAAAATGGTAAAAAGATCAAGGTGTTAAAAAATGATAGAGTTTGTGAATACGAAACATTATTTGTTGATATTTGGTCAGAACATGGTATCATTCACGAAGAAATGATAAATACTATGTTGATATATTCTGGTTTAACTTAGAATTTGTGGGGGGGAAATTTTGCTTTCCACAAATTATATTCTCAATAAAATACCTCAAAAGAAAACAAATGTGACACCATATGAATTATGTAAAGGTCAAAAACCATTCTATAAATTGTTAAAAGTGTGGGGGTGTTTAGCTAAGGTTGCAGTTCCTACTCCTAAGAAAGTTAAAATAAGACCTAAAATGTGACGACTTTATAGGTGGATGTGTCGTAGACGAGTGCAAGAGGCACTGACAGGCTACCACATTGGGCGAGCTATAAGTGTACAGTCCCACGTCGCTTAGGTAAGGAAAAGGTGAAGTGCTTTTATGTGGTATTGTTATCTCCAATTAGTATGAGACTTTCTGGGATAAAACCCAAGAATAAAACTGTGCGGGCTCAAGCCCAAAGCGGATAATATCATACCATGCGGTGGAATGGATCATCACATAAAATCTTTGATAGGTTATGCTCATAACAGTATTGCATATCATTTTCTTGTGCATAAATCATACAATGAAAATAAGAATGAGTTTAGATGTAGCAAGAGGGCTAAAACGTCTAAATCTTTTGGTCCTGATTTTCTAGCATGTTTATTGGAGAATAAGTTCTCCTAAAATTTTATTTTTTAGATTAATTATGTGATATAATTAATCATATGATATAATATTAAACTATATTGTTATGTTGATACTATAACATTGAGTTATAAAGTTGAATTACTTAGTGTGCATAGTAAGACATGAGAAGAGTGTCCTTAATCTAAGGTAGTAATGATAACTAAGAACTCACTTTTAACTAGTAATGATGGCTGAGAAGTGAGTGTTCACTATGTGGTGACATATCTAAAGCTTAAATAATAAGATGAGTTACTTTCTTAAATAATTGAGTTATGTGATGTGTGACGCGTGAAAGGTTATAACATGCTAATATGACTGACTTAATATAAACCTAAACATAAATAACTCAAGTCATAAATATGAGAAATGTAAAAGCAAATATTAATTAGAGCCCAATCTAATTAATATCTCTAGTATTAATTCACAATAATGCCAGTGAATTATTATAAGAATAAGCTAGAGTTAAAGTTATAAAGTGAGTACATATGCACTAGAGACTGTTATAAATGCTTGTTGAGAAGTGAATATGGAACCTTGAAAAGGTAAATGAGGTAAAATATTTAATATATGGTATTTCCAGAGTTGGTTAATCAAAATAAATATATCAGAGATAAAATTTCAGGATTATCCCAAAGTTGTGGGGAAATATTATCCATAAATGAAATTTGGTATGAGTCACCTCATCTTAAGAGAAATAGTTATAAATGTAGGGGGTTCCGAGTCCTAAGAGTTTTAGGATAGAACCAAAAATCATTTACAGGAAACAACATGCCACCATATCTTTTGTGACATAAATAACCTATGAATTTGGTTATTCATTGTTGGAGGATAAATCCACGCGGTCTAATACGACACCATTTTCCTGCAAAGAAGAGAGTAGAAGATCGATGAATCTTGACAGCACCAGTGCGGTGCCTGCCAAGAGCTCTCCAACGATCAAAGCAGTCACCGGAGGTCTAAAAGAAAGGCAGGGATTTAATGATCATTTTTTGTCGTACTTTTATTGAATGGTAGGATCTCATCCTTATAGTCGCTCTCCCTCAGTTCATTTGCGGGATCAGAGGAGATCCGCTTGTGCGAGATCAGAGGAGATTCTTTTATTGCCAGATTTGTCAGGGATATAATTTACCTCTTTGACTTTCTCAAATTGTGCCAAGGTTATCCTTACCTTGTTGAACCATGTCATCTTTCATTATCCTTGATAATGAAATATTATTATTCTTATCCAAGGGAAATATCATCGTTCGAACCTCGAAAGAGGTCTGGCCGCTGGTCAACACTTAGTTGCCTCTATCGTTAGGTCAAGGTAGGTTAGGTTTATTTTTCCCTATCAGTTACCCCCCCCCCCCATTCCCAAGCTTGTTCATCTAGCTTTGGGAATGTGAATTTTTTATTTTTTTTTTGCCCTTGGCACTATTCCCTCGAGAATAATACCACGAATACTGTTCCCTCGGGAATGCCAAGTCCTACTAAGCTAAGCATGCTTGATAATTACTTTCTTATCCCTTTAATATGGGAAGTAGATTTGCTCGAGCGTTGTGAGCTCACCCTTT